TCAACCTCTGTATGTCCTTTACTGACTTCGGCGGTTCCATCTCGGCAATTGCTCTGATCTTCTCTGGGTTGACCTCGATCCCTCTCCGGGAAACCATAAAACCCAGGAATTTTCCGGATTCCACACCAAAGATGCATTTGGCTGGGTTTAACCTCATTCTATTCTGTCTAAGATTGTTGAATGTCTCCACAAGATCGGTTAAGTGATCGTCAGCTTTCAAATTCTTCACCACTATATCATCAACATAAACTTCCAGATTCCGTCTTATTTGAGCTCGGAATACGATGGTAACCATCTTCTGGTAAGTGGCGCCTGCATTCTTCAAGCCGAAGGGTATCATTACATAGTAGTAGATCTCATCACCAGCATAGAACGAGGTTTTTCCTTCATCCTCAGGAGCCATTGGGACCTGGTGGTAGCCTGAGTATGCATCCAAGAGACTTAATCTCTCATTCCCCGAAGCTGCCTCAACCAGCTTATCAATGTTTGGCATTGGATAACAATCCTTTGGACATGCATCATTGAGGTTAGTGTAATCAATGCACATTCGCCATTTACCGTTTGCTTTTTTCACTAGTACCGGATTGGCGACCCATTCACAATAATCTACCCTTCTGACAAAGCGGGCTTGTAGGAGTTTCTCGACTTCTTCTTTGATAACCTTTAACCTCTCCCCCCCGAAAAGGCGTCGTTTCTGGGCTACTGGTTTTTTGAGGGGATTGGTGCTGAGTTTATGTTGAAAAACTGAAGTGGGGATTCCCGGCATATCTGTTGAAGTCCATGCAAAAACATCGTTATTGGCCCGAAGAAAAGCTATTAACTCTGCTCTTTCTTCCGAGTTCAATTTAGTCCCAATTTGCGTTTTCCTGCTCGGATCTCTGTCATCAATCTGTACCTCCTCCACATCTTCAACCGGAGCAGCTCTGGTTTCATCTTCTGGTCGGTTATCTACTATCTCAACACCCATAACTTGCCGATCATCAGGTATCTGTTTGGGATTAATCTCGGGTGTCTGAGCCTTGTCCTTTTGAGGTTGTGTTACCGAGGTGATATAGCAATGCTTGGCCACCTCCTGGTTGCCTCGCAGTGTTGCTATTCCCGTAGGAGTTGGGAACTTCATGCATAAATGAGACTGGGAAACCATGGCTCGGATCTCAGTTAGTGTAGGTCGGCCAATGACAGCGTTGAAAGAGGACGCCATCTTGACCACTAAAAACCTCACTGTAGGGGTCACATAACTTCGGCCACTCCCAAATGCAACATTCATGGTGAAGACTCCTTCAACGGGGACTGGTTGGTTGTTGAACCCGTAGATGGGACCATCATACCGCTGCAACAGAGCCGGATCTATCCCAAGACTCTCAAAACAATGGAAGTACATGATGTCTGGTGCACTCCCGGTGTCAACAAGGACTCGTTGTACTTCACAATTGTTGATCGTGACAGAAGTAACTAGAGGATCATTGTGAGGTGTGACAACTGTTTCGAGATCAGCAGATGTGAAAGTGATGGGTTGATTCTTCCACTCAGCATCGTCAAATTTGCGCTTCTGACTCCGGTTCTGGTGCTTAACCTCTCTGACGTACAACTTTCTTTGCTTAGAGCTCAGTCCACCTGCTTCCAGACCTCCCGTAATCATATGTATGACTCTAGTTGGTGGTGGGAGTGGTGGTGGGGCCTGCTGATATCCCACACCTTGCCTGTTTGGGGGGTTGCGGATTCCTTGATGCTGTGTCCCTTGTTCCCTGATGAATCGAGGCTGTTCAATTCTTTGGATGTACTCATTCAGCATCCCTTTCTGCGCTAGGCTTTCCAGTTCGGACCTCAGACTATTGCATTGCTCTGTTGTATGACCGTGATCTTGGTGAAAGTCACAATACCGGGTATGGTCTCTGGTAGCAGCAGCAGTTCTCATTGGACCCGGACGTCGTAAGTCCATTTTATTCTTAATCTGCATGAAGATTTGTGACCTCGGTAAATTAAAAGGAGTCCAATTAACTGGAGGTTTACCTGCAGATTGTTGCGGAGGTGCTGAGTTCGGCCTTCCGAATCTCGAGGTCGACATCGGACCTCGGTTCTGTGTTGTCTTCATCCGTTTCCTGTTCGGATTCTCATCTCTCCAGTCCGGGTGTTGATTCTTGACAGGGGTGATGTTCTGCGACAGGGCATATTCCTCAGCAGTTATGAATTTCAACGATCTATCATTTACCTCACTGAAGGTGGTGGCGGGATGTTTAAGCAGACTTTCTCTGAATCTTTCATGGCTGAGACCCGAGATCACAGCTGTAATGCCCACTGCTTGGTCGAAAGAGTTAACCTCTAGCACTGCATCATTGAATCTGCTCATAAAATTCTTCAAAGACTCTTCGTCCCTCTGCTTAACCCGCATCAGCTCGGAAGTGGTTTTCCTGATCAACCTTCTACTGGAAAACTTTGTGGCAAAAGCAGATGCCAGTTCTGTGTATGAGTTGATTGACCTCAGAGGTAGACTGTAGTACCAGGTTCGAGCATTACCTCGGAGGGTAGAGGGAAAGATTTTGCACATTAACGCATCAGAGGCGTTCTGGGCCTGCATGCAAGAGTAGAAAGCATGTAAATGGTCATCAGGGTCCTTCGTCCCATCATAAGTTTCAAGCTGTGGTATTCGGAAGCCAGCAGGGTAGGGTTCCAGTATAATATTGGTGTTGAGAGGGTGAGGTACGGAGTCAGCTGTAGGGTGTGGATGTGGAATACCTCGCTGTTCGACCACTAGCTTTTCTAAGCTATCTAAACGCCGAGCGATGTCATCACGAGGGGGTTGCATAACCGGTGCGATGTGAGATTGGCCCTGAGATTCACTAACAGCGGGAGTACCTTGAACTGGTCCAGGATTTTGTGGTGGGGCCGGGGGTTGTGGTGGGGCAGGATTAAGTAGATTAATGAGTGGATCACCAGGATTGTTCCGGGCTAACAACTGAGCCTGCACTTGCTGAAAGACACCAAACTGCTGCTGCATGGCAGCGAGCTGAGTTGTAACTACATCCTGGTTAGCAGTAGAGGCTAAGTTGCTAACCGAATTGTGTGGTTGATTTTCGTCTTCTCCTTCTGCATGATCAACAGGAGGGAATGTATTTGGGATTGGGGGTGGAGGATGAGGTGGAAGGTTGCTGGGGACCTGACCTCGTCCAAGAGGCTGAGACGAGTTTCCCCCTCGGGCTGACCTAGTTTTAACCATGATAAGAGCAACAAAGAAGCCTTTAGTTCAGCTTCCCACAGACGGCGCCAAAATGTAACTGCACCAAACCAGACGTCCTTCTTCACTTCGGATCTGCACTCCGGATTGACCTGCAAAGCCCCGAGATGGATCTCGAGGTAGACACTCCGATGCTTAAGTCAGCAATAATCAAGGCTACCTTTTAAGCGAAGGAACAAGGAGTTTAGGGTTGGTTTTTTCATTACCTTTTGGAGTGGCCCTTAAGAGGTATTTATATGTTCCGATGCAGAATCCGCGCGGCGTGCCAATCAAGATGCCAAGCAAGATATCCGGGATCCGATGTGTATCTCCAAGCAATTATTTCAGGACCGAGAGATTGAGCTAAACAAAATATCCGGGATGTGATATGTATCTAACAAAATATC